ATATATATATATATATATATATATATATATATATATATATATATAATGTTTTCAGATTCGACTTTCTGCACTATTTAGCCAGTTGAATCTGTTATAGCAGGTAAATCTAAATGTTTTTTAGTTGTCATTTTGACTGAATAGTTGCTGTATTGCACTTTTTTATGTGTTTCGTCTTGAAAAAGTCAATAAAAACATGTTTTTTTCCATGTTAATGTGATTTTATGATTCCTACTTTACAGCGCACATAGCAAGTAGCACTCATCTCAACTAAAGCGAAAAAATTACAGCCAATCCATGTGATCGGTATCGGTAGAAAAATACCTGATGCCTAGTTTTTTGTGTGGAAAATACATCACAACCATTTTAAGGCTCAATTGTATTCAATATAATTAAATTATATTAACATGTCATATTAAGTCTCTGTTTTATGGTTAAGATTAATCATTTTTTTCCTTACCTTAATTCAGCTCCAATATGAAAAACACCAAGAACCAGTATAAAAGGAATAATACACAGTACTTTTTATTTTGCTTTTACTATTCCAAGGAGCTCAACAAAAGCTTCAAGGTGTATAAGATTATAAGATTTACTGAACAAAATCAGTTTGAAAGATTACAAAAACATCTGCAGTGGCTTTGCAGAACAGAGCTAAATTAAATAAGATGCCTTTCATCATTACTCAATATTGATTACAAATAATCGCAGTGTGTATGGAAGATTGTCGACGCTTATTGAGAGAAATATTACCCAGTTTATGTTTCACCTCTGTACCCGAGAACAAAGTATTATTTTGTTCTCCATAGAATGTCCATGAAACATTATTAAATGTGTATGAAATGAGAATATTTCTAAATAAAAATGATTTCATGGGGCATATTTCACATTTCATATAAATTTAAAATACTTGTTTTCCAGTCAAATAAAAGCTATTACAAAGACTAAACATTTTTATTAGTATTACTTGTAAAAAATATATATGTAAAAAGGATTTTGAGGCAGTTTTTATTTGCATATTTACAACTTGCATTTGTAAAAACTACATTTTTAGTATTACAGATTTATTTAGTAACTTTTCTAAAAAGGTATTAAAATTAAACAATTCTAACAATTTACTCTTTTTTTTAAACGTTTTGGTTTTAAAGGCATAAACTGTTCAAGTAAAATGAGCTCGTTTAATTCAAAATGCAATTTAACACTTTTTTTTTTAGATAAATTTTGTTGCCAAGAATGTGAATAAAATAAAAACTTACCCTGAGCTAATCTGGTTCTAATGATTTAAGACGTGTAGAGCATTTAAACTAAATTTATAAAGCAATAAAAAATAACCCAAGTTCTTAATACACATTTCATGTTTTCTATAAATTTTCTAGAAGAATAAAAAACAAAAACTGTTCCATACTTGCCACTTCAAGGTCCGATTTAAACTCTTTAAATTTTAAAACATGCTTCTACAATAACTGTGTTGCTTATATTAATAAAAAACTTCATTAAAAAAACTAAACATAATATAAAAAGGACTGTTTCTAAAAAATCTCACTTTTTTTTTACTGAAATAATATTTTCATTACCCATTGTTGCACCTGAGTAACAATGAAACTTTAGGAGCACAGACTTGTTTTAGTGAGGTAGCTCTTAAAACATTACTCTTCAAGACGTTTAACGACTAGATCCATATTTTATATTTAATCAGCGTGGGAGAAATATGCTTCGTTTAAGCAAACCACTATTCAGATCTTTTAGAAAACGGGACGGGGATAGTCTGAAAACACTCATGTTTTTTCATTCTTTATTTGACTGAAATTCTTAAATACGCCATTATGTTTTTATTCATTTATAATTACTAAATGAGCATTTTTTTTTAAGCTTTATGTCAAGAGGGATCTTGGTAAAGGCAAGACGGATGAAAATATTTTGGTGAATAAAATGAAATGAATAAATACATTTACTGATGAGCACATGTTTAATGTTAATTAAGATGGTACCACTTTACAATAAGGCTCCCCTCATAGATGGCTAATAAATGGTTTGTAGATATTAATTCCTCTATAAGCACTTTATAAATAATTAATAATTGTTTATTATGCAGTAAGGGTGACAAGAGAGAAAACTGACCAGTTTCTTGCCAAATGTAGAGTTGTTATATTAAACATTTCAGAATAAGTTACTACCTTGAAAGTACAATTTGTATACCTATTTTTAGGGTATAATATTAGTTGTAAATACTTATAATGCAGTGATAAAGTACAATGTTATATGCTGAAGAAACAGGTTTACAAATGCTTACTGTGCTTACAAGGTATTAACTTAGTCTGAAATGTTTAACAACTCTAGATGAAATATAGGTGAACAGATGTGGCTCACTGTGGCAACAAACTGGTCAGTTTTGTCTGTCATCCTTAATTAATGCATAATAAACAGTTACTACTGATTTATAAAGTGTTTGTAGAGGAATTAATAATGTATCTGAAGTATTTATTAGCCACCTAGAAGGGGAGCCTTATTGTAAAGTGGTACCATTAGGGCTAACTTATTATGGAGACACTTCGTTTATACTCAGGTCTTGCTGGCAATAAGATTGGTAATATTTCATATTTTGGTCAGTTTAAAAATGATCAAATGAACAAACAAAAAAATGTTTAAACAATAAGTCATGAATACTCTTGTTTTTGAAAGAAAAGGCACAGCTTTTATTAAATTGTATCTGCGCTTGGCCCAGCAGAGCTTTATTTTGCTGCGCTCTGTTGTACAACAGAGTAACCAGAAGGGGTCAGGACAGCCTAAATGACCAAGAAGCACACTGAGCATGCTCACAAGACCGATGACATCACTGGCACTACTCGCCCTCTCCGAATCCAATACTGCCTTTTCTACAACCTACGTAGAAGTTAGGACACTTGACCTATCACTGGATCAATTATCCCAAATAAACTGAATTATTCAGCTGTGTGAAACAATCAACGAGCCGTCCCCTCAGGAAAAAAAAAAAAGTTAATTTTCATGAATTTGACACGACAATACTCCTCCAATAATTTACCAACACAAAGGACAGAGCTGAGCTTTCTCAAGTACATCAAGACGTGAAATAATGTCAAGGAATCGTCTGAGTCTTTACCCGGCTGCACCTGACTGACAGCTGCATGCCTAATGACGGGATCGTCTTCCAGTAGGACAGAAGAAAACACCGCGATCGTCTCCGCTTTAACCAGCAGGTGTTTCCAAGAAGCTGACTGACAGATTTTTAGCAAAGCACCCTTTAGGGTAGGGGTGTCCAAAGTGCGGCCCAGGAGCCATTTGTGGCCCTTAGAGTGATTTTATGCGGTCCACATTTGCAGTTTATTGATGGTATAAAATTAAGCTTAAGAGATGTGGACCTTTTGCAATTTTAATGGTCATTTTTTTTATTTAATTTTTAGGTTTCACAGCAAAATGGATTAAAAAGTCTCAAAATGAGCATTATTAAGTTTAATACAATCCTTAGACAAAAATAAATAAATTACATTAAATATATATATATTAATAAAAGGTTATTGTTTATGTATCTTTTAATGTTTTGGATCTAAAACAATTTACCGTCTCCAGCAAAATTTGTCTATTCTCCAAAATACTGTTTATGTAGAGTTAGAAGAAAAATCACCAAAAATATGTACGCTTATTATTATTATTATTATTATTAGGGATGCACGATATTCTCGGCATGGTATTGGCCGACATTATCGTTATGTTTGGACACCCCTGCTTTAGGGCATCACCGAGGCCAAAACAAATGATAGAACCACCGAGGCTGTAAGATGTATATACATCCAACCAACCCCACCTAAAAAAATCTGATGCTGTCACTAATGTAAAACCTGACAAATTGATTCAAAACAGCCCAGGCAGGCAGAGTCCTATTCTTATTATGGTGGATGATAACCATGGCAACAGGCATGTACACAGGCAGATTGAATAGATTTAATCTATAGTCAACCCCCTCACAAATAGCTCACCGCTGTAAGACGTACATAACCTTTCCTTTTACTACAGCAGAGCTCAGCTTTGTGCGTACGATACATTTTCCCATTATTTCAAACATACTCACCGATCTCCCTTCGGTTTGCGTTTCTGCAGAGGGACCTTCCCTTTAGGTCTCCTCTCGCTGCCTGCACAGGGTCCTCCACCAGGTCCAGTGACCCGCAGGGACTCCAGGCCCTTGGAGGACTTCTTGTAGGTGAACTCCACCTGCTCACCCTCCTTTAGGCTGCGGAAACCCTCCATCAGCAGTTTGCTCTGTCGGGGGGGAGTGACAATAAAATCTGTTTAGAGCCGAGTAAAAGGAGATTCAGTTTAAATATCGATGTATAACCATCCGTTTTATAAGCATCGTGTAAAAAGGTTGTAAATGCAAAAACACATCAAATACAAAACTGGATTTTTCTTCCTGAATGACACCCAATGATTTTAAGTTTTTTTTTTTTTTTTTTTATTGTTTACATTTCAACAGGTTTTATGTACCGGTAAATAAAGTGCTACTACATTTAAATACAGTAAAGTGACAATGCATGGGACCGTCTGTGGTTTCAAAATAAATCAGTTTAAAAAAAAAAAACCTCTCAAAACCACTAAAACTTGGTCATACTGTTCTATATTTTCAATTATTTCTAACAAGATGGGTGTAGAGTTTTCTTTGGTTGAAAAGTACCCCCCCCCCCCCCCCGCCCTCACCTATCTGTTGCTACAAGCCGTCAGTCAGCTGTTAATTTCCCTTAAACGTCTCCCGTCGTTTTCCTTCTTTAACTTGTTATCTTATCAGACTTTTAAAAAATCGCTTTTCTTTAAATTTCCCACAATCTGTGAGATCTACGATCAGAACTTTAACCGTCTTGTCCGTACGGGAACGCCTTCATGTCTTCACCCACACAAAAAACTATCCAAAACGTAATAGCCATGCCAGCTGTGTATGGTGATGTTACACCATGACAAAGACACTAAACATGGAGGGTGTGCATAAAGCTTCGCACTGGAAGAAAATGTGTAAACACAAAGAAAGCAGAAGACGTCTCCCTGGGGTCTACGGTTACATTAGACGGGGCTGCAGCATTAGCAGCTTTTAAAATGAGCTGCAGAGCGACTCATTTTTTAAAGATTTTACATGTGATCCTAATAATCGTAACAAACTTAAGTTTTCATCTTCTAAATAATTAAACAGCTGACAGATTAAAATAAATAAATCAGTGTCATATGAAATATCCAACCTGACTTTAAACAAAATACCCGTCAACACATTCTCTTGTTATTTCACTTGTTGGATTTGTGCATTAAACTTAAATATAATGTAGGTGCAATATAATTACATATTAATTACATTTCTGTTTTTAAAAAAAATACAACTATTGATGCATTTTAAGTTTATAATTTAAAATGTTTTCATAGTGTGACAACATATTTTTGCTCCAAGTTAAAATCTCGTCCCGCTCCTAAACGTCAAGACTTCAATACTTTTATGGTTTTAAGGCAAATCCTAGATACACATTACTTATGTCGAACAGAAATGTGTTCACTTTTTATTTAAAGACGTGAACCGTTTTTGTTTCAACCTCTGTGCATGAAGCACAACACCAGCAGCATCAGTGTTATGCAAGTTCACACCCATCAGAGTGAATTTAACACATATTGAGCAGTCGTCACCAACATTAGAACTGTGAACAAACCGCTCCCCAGTCAATGCTTTCTATACCCAAATTACTTTCACAGAACATCAACACCTTTTAACAGTATTTTACCGTGGGGGGGGGTTTCTTCACACAACTTCACGTAGAAATCTCAACAGCAACGCAGCACATAAAAACCTTATTTTAAGCATAATGGACTGACTGGATGTGGTTTCCACAGTGTCCTCGGTATCCTTTTGTAATGCACGTTTGTCGAGACGCCACTTCCTATTCCCTCCGCAGGGGCAAAAGACGAGTGTATTACTGCCAAGCCATCATTTTCCTTCGACACATCCACCATCCATCTTTTCTACATGATCAGAATTATTGATTTGGTTTGTACACAACCAAAGGACAATGATTAATGTCTCGTGATGGCAGCAGAACCGGCAGCCTATAGGCGCTGAATCCATGACCTTCATGAGCCGCAGCGAGCCTTGCGGATCTCGGCATAGGTAAACACACACCCACATGAGCGTGCAGAGTGCAGAGCAAACCCTACAACCTGCATACGCCAAAGCATATAAATAACACACAGGCCATCTATAAACGCAACGCCTGCTAGAGACACAGATGTGTAGGAGACGGGAAGAAAGAAAGGAGAAAAATAAAAACAATAAAATAGATCCGAAGAGGCAGGAGAGAGCAATGTACTCGGCAGCAGCTTTTCTTTTTCATCTCCTCAGTTACAGGAAGCTATACTGATGCTCTATATGTGATTTGTATACATAAATGAATAAATGAGTATAAAATGTCCACATACACAACAGCAGGAAGAGATGCAGAAAAAAATACTAATTAAGCAATACGGTTTGAACTCGTTGCACCCTGATGGTTAATTTGATAACCACAATGATTTCTGGGAAATAATTTTGTTAAGAAATGAGCTAAATAATGTTAATAGATGTCCTTTAATAATCTAAAATGACAAAAAAAAAACTAATAAACATCAAACACACTTATTGAAAATAACATGCGTCCCTCCAAAAAAAAAAAAAAAAAAAAAAATATATATATATATATATATATATAATTTTTTTTTATTATTATTATTATTTATATATATATATATATATAAATGTATGTGCCGGTCGATCGCAACGGTATTATGGGTAGACTAGATTGCATGGCATAAACAAAAATAATAATAGATGTCAGCCTATCATCCATCCTCACTATGATATTTGTCACTTGATTGACAGGGCAGGCAGTCACAGCCATCATTCTCTCAAACCAGATCTCAGAGTGGAGATTTTCAGGAAAAATATTTATACTTATCCAAATTTATTCCCTCCCTCCCAACCACGTGAAATTCTCCGTGTGTGAAGTTGCCCATGCGCACTACAGGTGGCTGCAGTCAAGTTTTTCTGCACTAACACAGTTATAATAAATGACAGAGAACAGAGTGTATTTTTGTGCTACTCACAGTTTTTCAGCATGTAGGAGCAAAACTAATAAAATCCAGTTCCAAAGAGAGGTTAGAGTTTTCACCAGTTTGGACGTAACTGATTATGCAGTCGCTGCATTGCACAATGGATGCCACAGAGTCAGGGTTGCCAGATACATTTAAAATGTCTCATTTACCCCATCTTTTCGGTGCACATGTTCAACAAACCCAACACACACCTCATCTTAGAATATCTTTACTCAGCACGTAGGACAGTTTAGGTCAAAATACTATCATTTTAAAGTGACAGTTCATAAGTTCTTATCTGGCAACCCAAATGACATGGAAACGTTTCATTCATTCAACCTTTATTTAGACAGGTAAATCCCATTGAGCCTCGAGGACATTTACAAGAGAGACCTGATTTCAACAAAGAATGACGACAATGGACAACAGCAACAACAATAAACAGTTATAAAAAGGCATACAATTTTTTTTTTTTTTTTTTTTTTTTTACAAATAAGATGGCAAAAAGAGTAACAAAACAGCTAGATTCTAAGGCGAATGTAGAAAACTAAAAACGGGAACATGTCTGCATTGGTCCCTGCCAGGAGTCGAACAGATGTTTAAAGCCACTTAGAGAGGTCAAGGTCGAGAGCTTCAAATCTTTTTGTAAGATATTCCAGGAAACAGGAGCGGAGTAGGAGAAGGCCCTTTTGCCAAGTTCAGCCCTCACTGAGGGAACACTGCAGGTAATAATGTCCTGAGAGCGCACGCTGTAGCTGCACTCACGCAGAGACATGTAGGAGGAGATGTATGAAGGCAGCAGACCAAGAAGTGATTTAAAGATGAAAATGTACCAGTGGGAGAGTCTGTGTGAAGTTAATGATGACCAGTTAACCAGTGAATACAGTGTGCAGTGGTGGGTACGATAATCACAGCCAGTTATGAATCTTAGTGCACCATGATAGACAGCATCCAACATCTGCAGGGTTCTTGTAGGAGCGTTCATGTAAATAATGTCACCGTAATTAATGGAGGGAAGGAAGGTCACAGTTACAAGGTGTTTCCTAACATTCAGGGTTTGACAGGATCCGTTTCTGAAAAAGAAACCCAGTTTAATTTTCAGTTTCTTCACTAGGTTTTCCACCTGGAGCTTAAAAGAGAGATGTGAGTCGACCAAGATAACCAAATATTTATAGGAATCAACAAACTCAATGGGGACACCATTTGAGGATAAAATCAGAGTTAGAACTGCTGGGACCAACTTCCTGTTTGAAAAAAGCATCCCTGTAGCAAACTACAGCATTTTTCATGTAAACCTGCTCCTTTTTTGTTTATTACCCCCAATAAACATTGGGAAAAAAATTACTAACATTTCCAGAGGTTGATCTCATGTAAATGGGGCCTTATAGGTAGATCAATTTGACTTGTTCATTTTTAAAGTAGCTTGCATTATGAAAACATGTGGGCACCCCTGTTCTAAACTTTGTTTCTAAACTCTAAAAGCTCTAAGAGCACAGAATGTCATGATCTCAGCTCTCTGCCTCTGGCTGCTCTTTGCCACCTGCCAGAAATCTCGGCCACGCCCACTTCTCCGCTGCAGAGATCACGACATGCTGCTTCTCCCTGCACATGTGGGCTGCACACAGGTGCAGCAGGTGCTAAGTAATTTTTTAAAAAATTTAATTAAAAAAAATCCATGCCAATCGTGTGGCTCATCCATCAAATAAGCCAATTGTGTGTCATGTCCAATCTTATTTTGAAAAACCATGACAGAGTCGGCGAAAGTCAAACCGCGAAGTAGCGAGGGACTTCTGTAATTTGAATGAGTGTTAGAACTGAAATCTGCTGTCTGGTAAATGTTTGAGAGAGATTATTTTTTTTAAACATCAATTGTAGAATAGAACAAAGCATTTCAAATGCACAAAAGCTAGTAGTTCTTCCAAAATATCCCAGAAGTTTTTCTTAAGATTTGAAATTTACATCGGAAATTAATTAAGTTGGTTTTTTTTATCCCCCCCAATATTTAAGACACTGGCTTCAATCGTAAATTCCGGTTTCATCAAATTTTAAAACCCTAAAACAACCAAAACAAAAAATCTTAATGGTGTTTTTACATTTAAGATCATTATTCTAGATTCTGTGTTTAAATGCTGCTCTCACAATAAGACTGCTATTGTTGTATACCT